GACTCGTTGCACAGCAGCCAGTTGCCCAGCTACCGCGCCAACCGTGCAGTCATTTTACAAACTATGATAACATAATGGGTTCTATCTCATTGCCATCATCATCATATCAAACCAAAGGACATCCACTGCTGAACATAGACCTACTGGAATGACTTCCAGATCAGCCGATTATAGGGTTTTTTACAAAGACTTAAATTTTAAGTGTGGGACAGCCATTCTTGGCATGAATCGGCCGGCTCGACCGGAGTGATACCACAGCCTGACAGAAAACCGACGTGAAAGAACGTGGTGTTGTGTTTCGTCCTGTGAGTGAGGTTACCGGAGGCCCAATTAGCTACCTCCCCCTTTCCCCAATCCCTGAATCCCCATCAATCCTCAAATTCCTAATCCAGAACTCCGGTAACGCACTTGTGACGCCTTTAGTATTTATGGTGTCCATGGGTGACGCCGATTGCTTACCATCAGGTGATCCGTCTGCTAGTTAACCGACTTATCCCATAAAAAAAGACATAATAATTCGGGGTCTCTGATTAACCTGTTCGCTCATTCACTAACTTAAACTCACTCACTCACTCGATAAACTATTACAACCCCCTTAAATCAACCATAAAACGATCCGCAGTGTTTATACAGCAGGGAATCGAACCTAAACCAAATTGATCGTTAACTTTTTATAGTTACATTTTTAATATCTTCATATTCATAATCTTGTTGTAATTAAAATTTCGCGGTATGGAATATTTTATGCCTTGATAACATTATTTATATTTATTTTAAGATGGTATTTTAATAGGTTTATAATATTACGATGGCTTACTAAAAGATGTAGGTAGAGGCGCGCTTATTAAATGTGTCGAACACTTTTTGCCAGGACCTTATACAGAGCATTATGGTGCTAAAATGACGCGATTGTTAAATTCGTCCGCATCATGCAGATCCGAAAATTTGAAGACTCTGTAATGGTTTGACCAACCCGAGACTCTTATTCAGCAGTTACATTTGCTACCACTTGATCATCACAGGAACTTGATAAGTACAAAAGTTATTAAAACAAACGGTTGCAGGGAAACCGTTGCGTCCTTCGTTCACTAGTCAAAAAGCCGTTATTCCTTCCCTCCACAAACTAAATACAAACATAATCATAAACAAAACAATAACAATCGCCAACTTCCTATCTCAAATTGGACTAAATTCCAAATAAAAAACATTGTCTCAATCCCAAAAAAATAACAAAGCGCGCGGCAAAAAACTACACAGGCGACCTCTAGCGTCCATATTTCACACTAATTATGGTGACGTCAAGAATAAAATCGATTATAGCAACTGTGAAGTTTTTGATGCGATTTTTACAAAACTATAAATAATGTCGAATGGCAGGTGAGGACAGGATTGTGGGACACTTGAGATCTAACAAAAAAATCTTTTTATGTCTTGTGATTTTGGTCAACTTTATCTTTTAACAAAATATAGACCTCTTGGTCTTGGTGTACCGTGAAATAGTTCACTTCGGGATGTTTCGAGAGCTGTTGATACCACCTCGGGAATATTATTATCTGGAGAATACTAAATAATAAAATAGATTCAAAGTCCTTGTGTTATGGTGTATGTGGTTTATTGATTGTTACAATTCTCGAGGTATCATTTTCGACTGTGTTTATCAATATTTTTACCTTACGACTAATAGCCATAACCTAAAACGTCCAGTTCCCTTAGCCTCCCACAATGATTTACAGACGTGCCGCGCCGGTTTACTGACATCCAGCAGTTGATTAGGTCGTCTGACCACCATGTCTTACGAGTAACTAAATGTCATTCAATTTCTAACATCTTAATTCTATTTCAAACCATTATCCACTTTGGTGTCAACGGCTCTAAATAAATCCGAAGGTGCAGGTAAAAGTATATTTTTTTAGCAATGTTTTTTGGTAGCAACGTTACCTCGAGATCGTTAAGTGAAAAAGGACCTGTTTCGGCTCTTTTGTGGCCAATGTTAGTAGCCGGTAGCCGACGATACGACACTGCTATTATCAGCCTAATTAATCGTACCAACGGACGAATTTTAATGTATATGGAATTGAGATAGTCTGAAGAAACAATCTCGGCTAATTTGCGCGCGGACGCAAATTGGCGCAACGGTATATTCTACTGTAGGTACGTATATGTAAGTACGTCGAGTGGTAGACTGGCTGTTGAGTCAGGGTTCGATTTATATGACGAATAAAGTATAAAAACTACTTCACTTAACCTAGAATTGGGGCTAGTGTTAAAGCTCGCTCTCTAAAGTATGGAACTTTTGACAAAACTAGCCTACTTCTTAGGGAATAAAAGCTAGATTTTATTAGATGTATGAATTATTTCATTATCATGTTGATATTAGCCAAGCTGCAAGACTTCCACCACTGAACATAAGCCTAACTACCAATGACTACCAAATAACTCAGATGGTCACAGTGAAGGATTAAAATGTGTCGGCTGATTAGCAACGAAATTGCTTTTTTGTCGCTATTCCTTAATTGACTTTGTTATAAAATTAATAGATTTCAAATATCTAAGTGTTCAGTGTGATAATTATTAAAGTGAGTAATGTACTACCAATTAGTTACTATCGTTCTGTTACGGTAATCAACGGATTAAGTGCAAATATATTGATATTATCGCTTTATTTTATATCTCCATTATAATATGTGAGACATTTAGCAAAGTATAATAAACTTAGAGCTTTTTTGTTATGACTTCTTCATGTAAAATATCTTCTACTTCTTGCACCTTGTTCCAAGCAACTTTAATTTGATACGATATGTAATCCTATTCCATTCTCACCTATCAAACATAGTCCTATGGTATAACTCCTTTCGCTTTCACACCTATATTATGTATTTAGTTGTCCTATGGATTTTTAAAATGGGGTAAAATCATCCAAAGACTGCTTCCGCCTTGGGTAAAGCAAGCGAGACGAAGTGTCAGACTCTTATTGACTTAAAACTACACCGTTCCTATTCCTGCTCTTCGAGCCGGAGCCCCGGTAACCCGTTAAGTCTTCTGCGGCTCCGTAGTCCTATATTGACCACACCTAGCTTCCCATTGTAGAAACAAATGTATGCAAGAAGGTTTACAAAACAGACAACACTGAAAATTCCTTAATAATTAACCCTTTAAGTACCGTCATTATAGACATAATTAAACAACAATAGGTTGCGGTCACCAGTGTCCTCGCGGTGTTTGACAGTTTAACTATCTTCATTGTTCAAAGTATGAATTGAAACCGTTTTCGAGCACTACCAGATCAAATCAAGTTGACTTAGATATTGAATTTCTTTGCTCTCTACTCTCTCCACCATTTACGCACAACCCATATCATAATCGACCATCACGAAAATCGACACAAACTCTAAACAAAACGGATACACTGTCTTGTCTTAAAAAATAAATAAAATAAAGCAGTGTTTGATGACAGTGGCGTTATATATCGCGACATTGTGTTCCATGGTTTATGGGGCCCATATCAAATTGGTAGCCATGGCCAGACATCGGCGATGTGTGTTCATACGTTTCGAGAACCGACGGATTTTCTTACAAATAAATATGGTGTTTTAGGAATGATATGAGAGAATGTGTTTCGAAACTAGTAGAGCTTTTCTCGGTGTATTCACGTGTGTAACCCACGATTTTAGTTAATTTAATTTTGATATGAGAGAACTTGATTTATTTTTATTTTATTTTATCTTTAAATCACAAAGTTAAGTATGTTATAACTTAAGCCCCACAAAACCGTTGCAATGGTTTGATAGTGAGGTCGAGTCACTAGACATTGCAATTAAATACCATGATATTGTCGTAAGAGTAGATACTAAGTTGCATTAAAATTTTAGTGATTGGGTTTAGTAATTTCCATAAATCTGAACTTGACAGCGCTCTAAGTGAACTTTTTTGTACTATAGTCCGGAAATTATAGAAGCAATTTTGAAATTTCTCAAAAATCTCACTATGGTAATGCAATTCAAATTCGGTTTTCCAATTTTGGTAATCAGTCCAAGAGCTTTAATTCAGTTTCAGTACCTAACATATCCAATGAAAATTATTTAACATTCTTAAATTCCACAGTCATATCGATAGTAACAATTAAAAGCAACCAGCTTCATCTTTTGCCGAGGAATTCGAAATGATAAAAAATCCATAAGTTTCCCATCTACAGCGATAACCTCTTCTCACATTAACTTACTTCGACTGCACGACAAAACATGATTAATGTTCTAATAAAAACGTTCCAATAAAAATTCATTCACATTATTAATTCCAATATTATTGTCCAGAACCTTTTTTGACAAAAAATCCCCGAGAATGCTACTCTCGTGCTTCTATTTGGGGATCAATGAAATCGTTAGCCACACTCGAAGATTAGGGAAAGGTCAGTTTGAAAAACTTTTGTTGTCATACACTTTTAATATTGCCGACTCAAGTTTGGTGTCGTTGGCACATTGTTCTGAATTCACTGATTTTTTTTTCTAAGTAAACATTTTTGTTACTGAGATAGGCTTTTTGATTCGCCAAAATTTTAAAATAATAAGTAAGTATGTCATATGAATCTCTTGGCATTGCATTCCAAACTACAATTTATTTTTGATTTTATAGAATTGGTGATAAGAAAGCATACCGTCGGAAACCAGACCAAAATGCTAGAATGAGAGGTCTATAGAATCGTAGAGGTAATTATTAATTGTATTTTATGAAAACCAAATTGTTTACCTATATTGTTTTATTTTATTAATATTTTTTTCTCTGTTGGCTAAATTTGTGTACTTTTACCAGATTAATATTGTATTGTTCCAGATCTGGAGGTGATGTGTGCCCACGACACTGCACTTTAAAACTCATAAAATGTGAAAACATTATTACAATAAAATCAATGTATTTAAATCTTATCATACAAATAGTTTTATAATTATAGAAATATCTACCTAACATCGTATACTTTGTCATCAACACAATCAAGTCGTAATTCATCATTTCGATTTCTTCGTCATATCCATAGATTTCATGTGTGATAGATATACTGTCCAGACGAAACTAGCAGCACTTACGAAGATAATTCTATTCTTTTCTGCGATAAAATAAAAGTTTAACGTCTGTACCAAGGGCCAGTAAAACACTCCAATCTTGTAGGTCGGCCAAAATTTTTTTTTCACCTCGTTAACGCATTCGCTGATCGGTTTCATTTCGAGGAGGCTCATTCCGAAGTAGAAGTAAGCTAATGCTAGGGGACCGTATGATACTTGCTCGATGGCAGCTCTCTTTATAGCAGATGCAATACTATTCCTCTTGAAGAATCGACTGGTGTACTTCATCCAGCCGTAGAATACAGGAGCCATGCAGAAAGCTCCGAAAAAGCCGAAACGAGCAGCTCGGGCCCAGTCGGCGTGTTCTATGGTCGTTCCACGTTCCAAGTACTCCTGGGTCAGGCTGCAGCTTGGCCAGATGATGGCATACGACACCATGCCCCGGATCATGGGATATTGTTCTGGTAGGTGACGGATTTTCGTCAATGCACCCATTTTTACGTAATGTAAACTTTGTTATAAAACGATGATTCAAAAATGCTTGCTAATACACTTTGAGTGAAGTTTGTGTGTCATTATTTGATTGAAATAAAGCTAGGTTCTTGTCAAAGTAGCAAGTAGGTCTAAGCTATGATGCAGTTGACGATGGAGCTTGCATAACCTATAAGCAATCCAAGTACCCGAGTACCTAATTATTAATTAATATACTTATGTTAAAGTTTAATTTATGTCAAACTACTTACTACAGACGTTTAGTTTGCCCATAATGCCCATACTCTTGTAGCCCATACCATAACAGCTGAATAATCCCGTAATTTCAAACAAAACCCGGTAATTTCTACTAAACACAAGAACATGATTATTTGTTGGCATACAAAACGTGACATCGAATTACCTATTTAGTAATCTTAGCATAGAATCGATTGCCCACCCACAGTGCCATGAGCTTAGAACAATCGAATAATTCGATTATTATTCGATTATTTGGCTCGAGTGAATCGATTCGGTGATCCTCTTTGAGATTAGAACGATGATTCGGCGAAATATAACGCGCGTGCGGTCGCGGCACATGATTAGTCAATTAATTACTAATTAATCTGATTGTTTATTTGTTTAGATTGTGGTAAGGAAATATTGCTTTGACTGTATAAAAAATGATTTAAATAAAAGTTCCTGATGGTTTTATAATTCATGTTTATGAATTAAGTATTCTATTAATGTTGTTACGATAAAAATGGGGCAAAAACACTACCCAGTTTATATCAGTACCAATGTTTACTTACATTCAAATTATTATCAACTTTTTAACTACCTACATAGTTCAATTTAGTTATCCTCCAATATGTGTATAACATACAGATGTTTCAACTACTGCTATACTATTAATTGTATACATCAATTTTTAACTTAAACTGTCAAACACCAAGCGGTCACCGGTGACCGCGACCTATTGTTCTTAAATTGTGTCTATAAAACCGGTACTCGACGAGTTAAAAACAATAAGGTAGCGCCTAAAAAATAAAAAATAATAATAGTATTTAACGCCATCTCGTGGCATTTATGGAAACTGTCTAACAATAGAGCCATCTATGCATAGAATTATAAACTATTACATGAGACAGATATTTTAGTGGTTCACAACACTTTAACCAGATGACGCTACTGGAGCAGGTTATTTTAGTTTAGCTATTCGATAATAGATGGCAGCATGTGTTTTAAAATTCCTAATTTTTATTAATTATATTTAGAAAATTGCGCTAACAATGAGTGAAAATAATTGTTATTGTAATGACGAAAAAGTTCAGTAACATTTTAGTTTCATTCATCAAGTCGTCGAATGGAAATAATAGGTAACAGATTTTTGCAGAATTCAGGGAAATAACATAATGAACAATTTTTTTTTTAAATGTCACAAACTTTTGACTGGTCTGTTCTTTTCTTTAGTTGTATTTTTTTTTAATGACAGAACCTATGTAGTAGTATAAAATAACAATTTTTTTTCCAGTAAAGTAAATACTTCACGATAATCACTCTTGCAACCACTCGTCCACGCAGGCAGAACATTACGCCAAATGCAACATACCTAGGTAAGTAGGTCTCTATAACTCTTCGATACGGAATTATGGACCCTCAAAACTGGTCCCTTTTTACGAACAAAATGTGAGAGAAAACAACCACTTGAGTGCTTTAAGTACATCGTAAACTTGCTACTTTATTGCTGAACTTGTGACAAGTCGGTCGATTAACTAATTCCTACATTTTTAGCAATCTTTGACAACAACTTAAAATATTTTCGTTATTTAATTTATGGTCAATTTCCGTGTCAACGTGTACCTAAGTGTGAGCCAATAAAGACTGAATTATGATGTTGAAAAATGGAATTAGTTAATTGATTTTTGGTGAGAAAAAGAAATTTACAATCTCATTTTGAGTGTGATCCAAGATTTAAAAGCGATAGGTAGGGAACCACGGTAGGTAGGTAGGATCAGCCGTATGGCCGCATGAGAGTAATTAAATTCGTCATATCCTAAAATCGCCTGGTGTAAGAAAATAATAATAGTTCTCCTGTGGCGTGGGTGTGTTGTTTTACATTTAATGGGCCTACGTTTGACCACTATGTCGCCTGGTGGTAAGTGATGATGCGGTCTACGATGGAGCACATATAAAATTACAAATCCACAAATACATCAAATTCAGACTCAGAACAACAATTTGCGGATCACACAAAAATCCAACCGTGCAATCATAAACTGGAAGTCCTGTGCACCTTCACCTGTATAACATGCATAACTTTGTGTTTTACTTCTCCTAATCTTGGTTACTTATATCTATCGATTATTGATTACCACAAACCCAACTGTACAATCTAAAGGGGTTGCGCTCCGGTCCGGTCCGTATGATTTATGAAAATGTAAACATATTGTGATATAGGTAATTAGATCTGATTGTCGAACAAACACACAACACATATTATGTGTTCAGACTCATCAGACCATCAGACATTAAGTTCGACCGGCCGTGACCTTACCAACTGCTCGACATTAAATTTAATGTTACTAAAATCTGTCTGACATATTTTTTATAATGCTTTAATCAAGGCAATGAACAGGACTAAATTAAATGCCTTATAATCTACAAAAGATTGGATAGAGTGAATTATTAAACGCCTTATAGTAGGTTTTTTACAGATTTTCCACAAAATATGCTTTCCCAAGCCGAGAATTAAACTGGAAACTTATTACTTGAGCATCACGCTTGCAACCATCCAGCCAGAGGTAACAAGCAGAAATCTGTAGATAAAAAAACATTGTCATATAAACAAACAATTCCAAAAACCCAATGATAACTTACATACATAACATCACGCCTTTTATCCCCAAAGGGGTAGGCAGAGGTGCACATTATGCCACTGTACAATGTAATACCCACTTTTCACTATTTCTGTTATGAGTCCCATGTAATAGGGGGTGAGCCTATTGCCATTTACCGGGCACAATTCCAGACTCCGTGCTACTACTGAGATTTTTTTTCAACTCAGTAATACTTTTCCCGACCGTATCGAACCCGAGACCCCTTGCCCGGCAGTCGCACTTGCGCCCACTCGACTAATGATAGCTTCCAAACTATTAAAATCGGAAAGAGCCGCTTTAAAATTTTATTACGAAATTAAAAGGTACTAAAATCAACGCTTGCTACTGAAATCTTTTTTACACCGAACAAGTTGCCCGAAAGTATAAAATACCATTGCCATCAGACTCGTGTCGAAAAGTCGTAAAAGTCGTCATTCCGACTTCTTCCGACTTTTTTTTCGCAGTTTGTAACACGAAACTTTTGTTAGAAATTGTTATTTGAACTCATCTATGAAACAATGGTAGCGGTTGTTCTTGTTTTTTATATCTATTTCGAGCTTTGTTATTTTAAAAAGTTGTACAACTTTTGCGTAACAATGAGTGGGGTTTGATTCCTGGGTCTGAAAGTGATAGTAATTAAAGATGCATGTGCTTGATATAAATGATTAATAATATAAGTAACATAATAGTACGGCTTTTATCCCCGAATTGGTATGTAAGCAGAGGTACACATTACGGCACAATGCCATTGTACAATGTCACATCACTATTTATGTTATGAGTCCTATGTAATAAGGGGTGACCCTATTTCCATATACCGGGCACATTTCTAGACTCCGTACTACACCTGAGATTTAAAAGAAATCTAGTATTACTTTGCCCGACCCGAGAATCGAACCCGAGACCCTTTGCCCAGCAGTCGCACTTGCGACCACTCTGCCAACGAGGCAGTAAATTATTAATAAAAGATTTTTAAATTAGTAATTAATAGGCTCACCCCCTATTACATGAGACTCATAACTTAAACTGTCAAATACCAAGCGGTCACCGGTGACCGCGACCTATTGTTCTTTAATTGTGTCTATAAAACCGGTACTCGACGAGTTAATAGTGAAAAGTGGGTGTATATTGTACATTGGCATAATGGGCACCTCTGCCTAACCCTTCGGGGATAAAAAAGGCGTGATGTTATGTAATGTAATTAATAGCTTATGAACTGTAGGGTCCTATTTCATGGGAGTTGGTACGACCCTTAAATTGATTACGCGTAGCTGACTATGATCATCATCACCAGTCCTTGACAACCCATTGCTAAACTAAGCGTCTCCTCTACAAAAGAGAATGTTGATAACACAAAACAAATTTATGATGTTTTCATTTTTTGCACGGTTGGCGCAGTGGTTGGGCCAACTGGCTTCCGCGCAACGTGTCGCGGGTTCCTTCCCCGCACGGAACAACTCTTTGTTGTTCCGAGTCTGGGTGTCATGTATATGTGAACTTGTATGTTTGTAAACGCACCCACGACAGGAGAAAATCCTAATGTGGGTAAAGTTTTATATAAAAAAAAAACACTTTTTAACAAAATATTATTATAATGCGAAACTAAATTCGTATGAAAAGCAAGAACCCTTTAATCGACACAGCAACTTGCACAAAACATGATTTTACATTAACGTGTCAAAAATTTCAATAATAACCCCAAAACGCCGCAGTTCATTGAGTCATTTAAAAAAAATGTCGCATCTGTCATCGTGTATGACCAATACTCGCCTCAAACCCGCCAGTGCTGACATCTGGCGGTAAACAATTGTTCTCACACCTCAACCTCATATAAACAGTAGATAAATAAGTATTAGAGTAAGAAAGGTACTTGAAATTCATTCAAGGTTCATTTAGGTTTAGTGTTTGTTTGGTTTTTGTAAATATTTATAATGAAACAATAGAATGTATCAGTTTCTTTCCGAAAAGGTATGATCAGAGTTGCACATGATCCGGGCCAACTCCTAAGATTTTTATTCATAACATAACATCACGCCTTTTATCCCCGAAGGGGTAGGCAGAGGTGCACACAGAAGTGACACCCACTTTTCACTATCTATGTTATGAGTTCCATGTAATAGAGGATGAGCCTATTGCCTTATACCGGGCACAATTCCAGACTCCGTGCTACTACTGAGATTTTTTTTAAACTCAGTAATATTTTGCCCGACCCGAGAATCGAACCCGAGACCCATTGCCAGTCGCACTTGCGACCACTCGGCCAACGAGGCAGTCTTGTCATTCAGATTTTTATTCATTTATTTCAATTAAATTGTATAACATTATAGTCATAAAACCAAGGCGTTATACATTTCAAATAATTATAAAAAAAACAAAACAGTAAAGTCCTGAAATAACAAATTGTAAACTTGTTAGAAAAATATAAAACAAACAATAACAATAACAAAAACAAACCCTTACTAACATAGTATATTAATCTAAACTTACTAACTACGACAGTTTTATAATACCTATAACCAAAATACACAATATAAAATAAATAACACATTTACAACATAATATAAAATAAAATACAGTTATGCATTCATACACTCACACAACTTCATATGAATCTTTGTCATAATCTACGCCCTTGGTAAGCTACATGAAGTATTTAAAATAACTGAACTATTTAAAACATAACATCACGCCTTTTATCCCCGAAGGGATAGGTAGAGGTGCACATTATGCCATTATGCCACTGTACAATGTAACACCCACTTTTCACTATTTATGTTACGAGTCCCATGTAATAGGGGGTGAGCCTATTGCCATATACCGGGCATAATTCCAGACTCCGTGCTACTACTGAGATTTATTTCCGACCCGGGAACGAACCCGAGACCCCTTGCCCGGCAGTCGCACTTACAACCACTCGGCCACCGAGGCAGTCTGAATGAACTACATTTAAACTGAACTATTTACTTAAACGAATCTTTCAGTTTTACCTACTACAGAGCGCTGCTAGTAGGTCTCTGCCAAATATGGTTCTATTTCCGAGACAATAATACATACCTATCGAATTTCGAAAATCATTAAAATTGTGGGATTCTAACCAGAAACCTATTGTTCAAGAGAGCATGAACTAGGGATCTGTTGCATTGGTCTACATTTAAAACATACAAATTACAATGGTAGAGATTATAAAAACATGCATAGGCACTTTTGCTTATCAAACTAAAGTCGTAATTTTGTGTAGATAGCAGACTTGATAGCATAGGTCTATATTCATGTCTATCCTAATATATAAAATATCAGAGCGTACCCTAAACAATTAGTTTAAATACTGAATTAAAAATTCATTACCTACCTACTAAACATTAAAATAATGTTTAACGTTAAAAGATATAAAAAAAAAAACAATAGAAAGAGACTTCAATCAAATTCTTTAAAAAGAAACTGACAAATCTAAAACATTAATCAATCCTAAACTTCGAACTCACACTTTTTCAAAACCAATATACCTAATTAAGTCATTAGCAAAATCAAAGAGCGACTCATTTCAACACTGAAATGAAATCACCCGCTTTATTTACACTTCGTAGTAAACACTCCTCACTACACACGAAAGGGACAACGATATACGATCCATAGCCTTGTCAGATAGAGATAGAGAACACCCCATTGCCCCGCCCATAACACACCAGGCCGCGTGGATTGGCTTCCACTAACAAATCTATACACCATCAGTCTTCCATCGCTTGCCTTTTAAACCACAACTTAATTACCACTCGCCTCAAAAACAATTAGTTAAACCCCAATAGTGACTAATGTGACAGTGAATTAAAAATGGAGAACTATGAACAACACAATGAAGTTACAACCTCATACAACAATAATAACTTGAAACACAATTATAATAATTGCAAAAATGATTTCTATCAATTCGTGGACGTCGCACAAGACAAGGAAAGCAAAGATTTTGCTTACGATCCGAAGAATTTTAGAGTGAAACTTGAAGATGGAAACAATCCGAATTTAACGACGCCGTTTTCTGTAAAGGATATACTGAATATCAACCAGCCGAACTACAGCTACGACAGGAATGAAGCCTGGAAATACAATGAAAGGGAAAGAAGAGGCTATGAATATGAACAAGTGTACCAGAGCCAAGGTTTCTGTCCACCAGAGTACCTCAGTCAAGTGTACCCTAATGTCCCCGTGCCGTCAAACATTGAGCCTTATTGGAACCAAGACATGCATCATGATTACAAGATAGATGAATACTATAGTTACAATCCTTACTGCCACAACTTGTACCACCAAGGGTATGAGCAGTACAATGAAGTGGGTCCTCCTTATGTGTTGATGGACAATGGAGTGAAGGTGGATAGTGATGAGAGAGAGTCTCTCTCTACCAGTTCAATAGCTGAGACAAAGAGAGGCAACAGCGAGAAGAGTTTGTGCACCCAGTTTTCGCCTGAGCTAGGGGAAAAGTCCTCATTGATATGTAGGAAATCTATAAGTACGTATTTATTATCTACATTATTATCTTCTTTTGATTTAGGCTTAGTAATATATTCCAGTCTAGATTTTAACCGCTCTGTAGTGATATTATTAAAATCCTTTAAACTTTACATGTTTTATATAGGTTTAGAATTAGACCTTTTAATATATATTGGAACCTCTTTCCTTTCCAATATATGTTCTGTTTATATGAGGAGAAGTAATGATATCCCAACACATCCCTCTATTTACTACCATCGTGTATCTATTTGCTAAATTCCCTGCTACCTATACCTAATCTACCAACATAAATGTAATAAAAACAATATTTACTTTCTCCACAGAAACGCCCACGACGGAGAGACCAGAAAGAAAAGACAAAAGCGCCAAGAGGAAACCACGCATACTCTTCTCACAAACACAGGTCCACGCGTTGGAGGTCCGCTTCAGGAACCAGCGCTACCTGACAGCCCCTGAGAGAGAACAGCTAGCAGTCACCCTGAACCTATCGCCTACACAGGTGAAAATCTGGTTTCAAAACCGACGGTACAAAAGCAAAAGGATTAAATCGCCCGAAGTGTCTACTTCTACTGATGCTAAGCCTGGCAAATTGAGTGGCAGAAAGATCTATAAGCCAGAAAATAGAGAAGCTCAATTAGCTACACCTAGCTATGATGCTTATAGGGAACCTCGAACGGACAGTGACAAGTCCTATGACCAACTCAGTTCGACCATTTACTTTGACGATAGCCTAGCATACGACCAAAGCGAGAAATATTTTAATAAACAAGTTCTAGAACATGTTGGCACTTCTTCTGATATTCAAAATTTATACACGACTGAAAATAATATGGTACTTAATGATCGTAAAGATATTTACGAAGAGCCTGAAATTAAAAAGTATTATCCATTGAATTTTGTTTGTTAAGTCTTTTGTTCTTTTTTTACTAAACCGACTGTGCCATTTAGACTGATTGCCAAAGAGTATTATATTTTAGTATTAATTTGTTTGTTATATCTAGTTGTAATAAATATATGTGCATGCCTGTGCAATGACGTCATAAGCTACGCCAAAGTATTGATGAATTTTAAGTATTGTTTTGTAAATAAAATTGTCTACTTTATGTGTTTGCTTATTTTAATTTCATTTTTATACCCTACAAAGTCATGGTTAGGTACACGATAGATGAAGATTTACTTACATTCCTACCTATTTAATTTAGTAATTTGAATCACATTTATCTAAAATGAATGCCTGTAAAGTTCACAAACAACTCAACAGACAAATACAGTCGCATATAATCAAAGAATACAATGATATCATTCGCCCATTTCTCTTTAGTGTATTACACGCACTATTGCTAAAAAACGCTCTTTAAATAGGTATTGCTGTAATAAAAAAACGTAAATATCATGACATTACATAATATCATTTACCACCACGGCAGTCAAAGGGTTAATAGACTAAATAAAATGATCCCACACAAAACAGTTTAATGCTCATAACATTATCAGAACAAGATAAAGATATATTTAAACTCTATATTAACTGCCCATCATAATAAAAACCGCCTCATAAAATTTTACATAAATGTTTTAAAAAATAAACATAAAACAGAAAGTGTCTATCGAGTCGTTTCAGATACTTTTTTTTCTATTCAATTTGTAGAGATCGTTTTTATCTGAATTGCTACCATACCGCGGCGGTTGAGGGTTGATCTGTGTAGACGGGCGGTTGGAACGCTGCATTTTAAACGCTGCAGTAAGAAAATTACAGTGTTGTAAAATAATGTATGACTATGACTGCCTCGTTGGCCGAGTGGTCGCAATTGCGACTGCCGAGCAAGGGGTCTCGGGTTCGATTCCCGGGTCGGGCAAAATATTACTGGGCTTTTTCAAGAAAAAAATCTCATTAGTAGCACGGAGTCTGGAATTGTGCCCGGTATATGGCAATAGGCTCACCCCCTATTACATGGGACCCATAACATAAATAGTGAAAAGTGGGTGTTACATTGTACAGTGGCATTAAGTGCCGTAATGTGCACCTCTGCCTACCCCTTTGAGGATAAAAGGCGTGATGTTATGTTGTATGTATGTTGTTGTTGTTGTTGTTGTAAGAAATGTGTAAATCTGAAATTAGTAAATCGATTCTTTACGTTTATTGCAGAAGTTAGCAAGTTTGTCTTTATTTTGAAAAAAATAATCACACCAATCGTTGTTTTCGGGTACTATGAAGAGAACTACATTGTTGGTTGAAGATCCGATGTTTCTAATTATATTTCTAATGAGGTAAAAGTTCAATTCACGAAAGAAGAAACGAAAAGATTAATTATTAGATTTTTTTCAGATATAGATCAGCTAGAATTATAGCTAACACATTATTCACTCTAAACTTATCCAAATTGTGATTATTTATGTGTGCTTGTGTATAAGAACGAAAAATTCGCTCACATTATTCTACAGCTCTACAACCGCTTCAGCGCCGTACGTTCAGCGTTTCACACGCTCAAAAATCGCTAGCCTACTCGCAACCATCCCTAACACGTCGCTGCAGACACTGGCGCCATGGAGATAAGATATTGATTCCTACACGTGTCGTATATGGAACCTGTGTCCCTGCATGTATCATGGATGCAGGCTATGGGAACACTCCGCGTCACCTGTTCCTCGTCACTAAAAGCTTTTATTTTTCTAAATTACCTACTGCCTTTTTTGTAGGTGGGGCTGAAGGTTCAATTTCTAGTTCGATTCCTGGTTTCGGGCAATGTATTGTTGAAGTTTTTAAGAACACATAAACATATAATATAACGCCTTTTATCCCTGAAGGTGTAGGCAGAGGTGTACATGTAACACCCACTTGTCAATATTTATGTTATGAGTCCCATGTAATAGGGGAGCCTTTTGCCATACACCGGGCACAATTCCAGACTCCGTGCTACTACAAAAAATCCCAGTAATACTTTGCCCGACCCGGAAATCGAACGCGAGACCCCCTTGCCCGGCAGTCGCACTTGCGACCACTCGACCAACGAGGCAGTCAGTTTTTAAGAAATGAGTCTGTACTGTAAGTGTAGTTGTATTGTCAGGTAATTGCAAATGCGATGGTTGCGTTCGAAAACATAGCTTTTCAATTCCCGGGTCAGAAGATACTCAGAAATTATTCGTAGTTCGGCATCGTCGTGTACACGAGAAGGTTGACCAATGACCATATTCTTCACACTTGACAGGAGCTTTGCCGCTTTGGAGACTGTTATTTAAATGGTTCTTGTTTCTCTGAGCGCTAGTCCCGGTCTCTTCCGATCTTAATGCAAATTGTGAAGATAAAGGCCGGTAACGCACCTGTGACTCCTCTGGTGTTGCGGGTGTCCATGAGCGGCGCTGATCGCTTACCATCATGTGATCCGTCTGCTCGTTTGATTTTATATATCGTGTATATGTATTCCATATTCGAAAGACTGCACGATAGGCGCGGTGGTTGGGCAACCGGCTGCCGCGCAACGTGTCACGGATTCGATTCCCGCACGATACAAGTCTTTATGTGATCAACAGATTGTTGTTCCTTGTCTGGGTGACATGTGTATGTGAACTTGTATGTTTGTAAACGCACCCACGACATAGGAGATAATCCTAATGTGGGGCAACGTTTTTTAAAAACAAAACAATAATAATACAACTGTAGAAGTGTAAATTGTGTACAATGTAAATACTTATTAATAAAAATTAGTAGGGTTTGTTACTAGACAGAAACCCCACCCAAAAATGTGATTAACAAATTGTCTGTCTGTATGTTCACGCATCACGCAAAAACTACCATTCCGATTATAATAAAACTTGGTATGAATATACTTTAATATCGTGGGCATCACAGTGGGTACTTTTCATCTCGAAAAAGTTTTACACTAAAGAACAAACTTATTGTGCATCTCAATCCCTATACACAGTGACTGTACCAAGCACAAACAACTCGCAATAAACAACGTCAATACATAAATTGATGATTGTATACAAAACCCAGACAACAAAACTAGATCCATCCAGAGGTATTCGACTGAATTCTGTTGTAAGGAAATTAACCGCGGAGGTCTTACGGGTTGCCGGGGCTCCGGCTCGAAGCGCAGGAGTAGCAACAGGGTTGTTTCAAGTCATTAAGAATCGGAGACTCCCTCTCGCCTAATCCAAGGCGGGAGAAGTCATTGGATGAATGTTCCCCTCAAAATAATAAAAATAGTAGGCTCTTACAATTGCCGCGAAAAGAGGTGGTGCCAAATTATTAGTTCTACTCAATCATGACCATACTACGAGATTGGAACCTCTTTGACAGAAACCTTCCGAAGCTTTTAGTTAATAAATTTCCATAAAACAATGATATTACTCACACAGAACAAGAAACAAATCAGTGGCAAGATCTTACAAATGAGTCTGTTCGATACATTACGGCACACGTATGCGTATGCCTGCGTCTGCGCACGTGGGCGTTTGATGTATTAATATTGTGCTGCTTTTAAGGTTATCGCGGGTGGAAGGTGATCTGGCCCGATAGACCGATGCCATGCCACCGGTACAGGTGCATGGTGAAGTGGTGGTTAGGGTTTATTTATTTTTGTTTCTGTATTTATTCGATGATCTTATATGGTTTTTTTCAATGACCCTCTTAATAAGGACAGCATTTAGCGATCTCTTAGCTTAAGAATAGGACAGGTATGTTTATTTTTCATATAGGTTTTACTTCGAATGTTAAATAAGAATTCTCCACGGGCTCTTGGCCTATGCCCTTGTCATACTGTTTTTTACAATATTTCTCGTTCTTATGTGGTAAGTAAGTACCGTTTTTCTCAGCCACTTTTATGAAATTGAAATCAATTCTGGACTGCTTACAAAATATGAATCAATATCGTTATTAAAATTCGAGGCAGTCCACCGCCTAGGTACTTATTTTGAGCTTCTTCTACAAAGCAAAATAATGGCTAAATGGTATTAGTATTTATACATTACTGTAATTGTTTAATATGTAAACATTGGACTACTGTTACATCTTTTGGATTTTTTTTGTGTTTAATAAACGATTTTTGTTTTATATATATTTTTTTTATTTAAGTCACATTTACGACCACATAAGTAGCCAAAAAAAATGTTTCCTAACAAAATATCTTTTAGTTAACCAAAAGCGGGTTACTCACGTGAATATACTGAGAAAAGCTCTACTAGTTTCGAGCCAGTAGGCTGTGCGACATCCCCGATTTGTAATTAATTTAGTACGATAGTTGTTATAAAAACTAGAACTTTCAGTCAGTGCAGTACAATCTCTCTTCATATTGTGAAAGCTTATTGTACCAGTCGATACAAATATCCAATGAGTCTAATATATCGTGCGGCTGTACGCCATTACTAAGCCCCGTGCAGTGAGCGCGCTCGTTAGCTTTTATTTGGACGCCGGACTCCTGTTTCAGACGCGCCGTACACTGCCAGACAAAATTACTTACACATCTTACTGCTGGAATATATTCTGTACTAGCTTCTGCCAGCGGCTTCGCCCGCGATCTCAGGGGTAAAATGCCTATGTATCACTTCAGACCATAATCTACCTCTGTTCCGAATTTCATTCCGGTCCCTTCAGTGGTTTTAATATGACTGAGTAACAAACATACACATAAACTCACATATTTTCATTTATAATATCGAGTCAAGCTAATTTCAACCATTGGCTTTTCAGTTACAGCGTAATGTCTATGAATGAGTATTGTAAACGTTAGAGTAGACAAATACAATCAGAAATCACCGAATTGCTAAGCTATCGGGAGTTTCACGTGTTATTGTGAGTCAACCATAAAAGATAGACATATGCTGTCAAGGAATATTTTTTATATAATTTTAAGGAGAATATTTCCGTCATATATGATTTCTATGCAGCTTTAACCTATAAGCCTGCAC